CTCCTCCACCCATGGAAGCACGCATGTTGGCAGCTCCGACAGTTTGCGAGGCACGTACTCCGCTTGCCCCACCAGTGCCTCTGGCGGCGGCAGCCGGCTTGGCCTCAATTTGGCCTTCCTTCTTGGAGGCTGCCCCTTTCTTACTTCCGTTTGAGGGAGCCTTGCCGGCCTCCTTGTCTTTCGCGGATAAGGTCTTGAGTTTCGAGGGTGGTTGAGGGGCTGGATCGTAAACAAAGGGATGGTTCAGCAGATCTGGCCAGTTCAGGCGCGCCGTGGGACGCTTATTCAACAAGCCTTGTAAGAAGGTCCGAAAGTCCTCGGTGATGCCAGATGGAAACTTCACGGGGTCGTTCACGATGTGCGTGATTAATTTGTATATGGAATTCGTGTAGAACGGCGGTTGTCCCACATAGAGCTCATATAAAATTACGCCGAGCGACCACAGATCCACCGTGTGATTATATGCTTTCTCCTGCACGAGCTCTGGCGCCATGTACAGGGGCGTGCCCTTGATCGAGGTGAGTACCTGAAAGAACCAGGGTCCGAGGATGTATAAGAGCTGCAACGTCGGGTAGCACTAACACGTTTCATATGCCTTTCTGAATGAACTCGGTTTCCAAGTGCCAGCATCTTAAAGAGAGTCAGTCTCTGTAATCCCTAAGCTCGACTTGGGCCGACCTGCGCACAGAACTTCCAGCTGAAAAGTTTCCTGAACGATCGCCCGAGGGGCGAGCATAAAGTGAAGTTTTTTGGAAATCGCTGAACAGTGAGAACGACAGGCGTGAGATGACGGTGGCCTATGTGCTTGCAACAATATATGGAGCAGGGTGCCGAGGTGCTGCGAAGAAACCGAGGCAAACTCCAGATTACTGTAAGAAAACGTCGGCAACTCAAGGACGTAACTAATGCAAGCTTCGCACGGTGTGAATTTCTCGCACGCAGTCACAGAGCTGTTTTCTAAATACAACCTTCTGAGTCAGGCAGCCACCCACAAAGTGTGGTGAAGGATTGGGGGAACGAAACTTCAAAAGATCGTCCCAGGGAACAGAAAGAGCACCATGGTATTTTGAGAAAGAACACGCGCAAAACCAAAATCGCAGAGCTTCACGACACATCCTGAGCAGATAAGGATGTTCTGCGGCTTCATGTCACGATGTATGATGCGGTTGGAGTGTAAATAATGCAGGGCTGCGACGAGCTGCTTTGCAATATGTTGTACCTGTGAGCACAGAGCAGTATCAGTCACAGGATAACTTCGCATTCAGTTGCAACTGAACCTTAAGTAGGCATGCCAAACCAGACTTTTCGGTGGGAACAAAGTATGCGCCCTGAAGGGCAACTGCGTAGGGAGGACGAACTACGTTGACTCGCGACAGTCAGTGGACACAAACGTGTTTGTTTGCGCCACAGCAGCAAACGTCGATCGCAATACTAAAATGAGGGATATGATAAAGAAAAAAATGAGACAGCGAGAGCCCCTTCCAGAGGCAGCTGGGAGCCCCAGGTAGAGCTGCTGAAAGCAAAGCGTCTGATGCAAAAAATAATAGTGAAGGTCGAAGCATGCAGCTCCAAAAGGAATATAAGCGACACATAGTAATCGTGAAAAGCTGCTAACATACCGTAGATTCAGGTAGACTTTTATCGTCCTCCAGAATTTCAAAAAGCTCCCCTTGAGCATACTCAGTCACGACACAAAACTCAGTTCTTGTTTCAAACGCGTCAAGCATCTGGATAATATTTGGATGCTCTAGGCTTCGCAAAATTTCTATTTCCTGTCGAAGATTGTGAATATCTTTCTCGCTTTTACCGTGCTTGAGGATAAACTTGATTGCAACAATCTGTCCAGACTGTTTCCTGCGAGCTTTGTACACTTTCCCGAAGGAGCCTTCGCCAACCAGCTCTATCACGTGATAGTCTTCCATCGTAGGAATCTACAACTTTTACCTCGAAAATAAAAAACTCAAGATCAAAGCACTAGTGTTGGTCAAGTGGATGAAACATGTTTCACGTTTCACCCTATAAAACTAGTCAATCGTGATGGAGCCGTGCACCAGGTCCAGTGCGTGCAGCGTTTGATGACAGCAACAATACAGCAACTTATTATTTGTTGCGCGGCAATTTTATATCATAAATGAATCAGTACCTACTGCAAGTTGTGAGGATGCAATCCAGACGGTTAGCGTTCTCCCTCGCCTGTACGGGAAACATCTAACATGGAACGTGAAGCTGTTTCGAAACGAGCCGAACGCCCTGCTCACATGCTCACCTGCTATCGTAAGCTTGCTCATGCTGCAGCTGCTGCAAAACTCGAACTCAGCAGCTCGAACTCGAACGGTGAGTTCGAAGACAACTCGAACCCGAACAAACAGGAAACGAACAACTTCGAACTCGTTCTTGTACGGTGTACGTTGTAGGCTGAACGTGAAGGCTCGGCTCTACAGTTAACAGTACTCTAATGTTTATCTCTAAGACGTGCTACCCCCCAGATTTGGGGGGTGAGACACACTTCTGGGCGTACGGGCTTTGGGCGGCACGTACTTGCCCCCCACGGTGTTGTGAGTGAACAAGGGGAGTACAAAGGTACATTGGATCATGCACCAGCCTTCATGAGGGGTGGGGATGGAGAAATTCCGAAAAGAATTATCACAAATCGAGATAGTAAATTATTAGGCAGTGGCGGAGGTGCACACGTGGGAGGGGCGATGATGTGATGGACACGTCGGTAAGTGGACATGCATCCCATCGAATCGGGGGAGGGGGGAGGGGGGTGGACCGCTTGGGAGGTAGGCGAGAATGCCTTTGACACTCTGAGGTCGGGTTAGCTATGGTTGGGGAAGAGGGGGTGAGATTAATCGGGTGTGAGGTGGTCCACGCTTGATGGGGAGCGATTTCCCACCTGAGGGGGAAAACAATTGGCACGTCATAGAGATATGGTGCAGCCCCTCGGTGATGAAGAAAGATGGATCGGAATTTTGCAAATACAATCTCTCCAAGTCTAATTCAGTTGAGGTTAGGGGTGGAGAAGGGGGGTGAAGCAAGTTTTGAGGTGTAGGGGTTGCACCATATCTCTAAGACGTGCTACCCCCCAGATTTGGGGGGTGAGACACACTTCTGGGCGTACGGGCTTTGGGCGGCACGTACTTGCCCCCCACGGTGTTGTGAGTGAACAAGGGGAGTACAAAGGTACATTGGATCATGCACCAGCCTTCATGAGGGGTGGGGATGGAGAAATTCCGAAAAGAATTATCACAAATCGAGATAGTAAATTATTAGGCAGTGGCGGAGGTGCACACGTGGGAGGGGCGATGATGTGATGGACACGTCGGTAAGTGGACATGCATCCCATCGAATCGGGGGAGGGGGGAGGGGGGTGGACCGCTTGGGAGGTAGGCGAGAATGCCTTTGACACTCTGAGGTCGGGTTAGCTATGGTTGGGGAAGAGGGGGTGAGATTAATCGGGTGTGAGGTGGTCCACGCTTGATGGGGAGCGATTTCCCACCTGAGGGAAAAAACAATTGGCACGTCATAGAGTTAACCATCATAAATCATTTAAGGGTAAGGTGCACAATTATTTCAGGGTATTTTGGGTATTAATTTCAATAAATCGTCATAAATTGAGTATTTCGATTCAAGGGGTCCTACATGGTGGAAATTGAAGGTGAAGGGCCATACTTTGAGGGGGGAAATACCCCGAATTGATACATCGTGATTTCCCGGTCGCAAAATCCCTATTTCTCAACCAAATACAGTATCCCAGGAAACTGTAGAAATTCCAGATTTCGGAAAAAAAATGTGGGAGCTTGTAAAATCTAATTCATGCCATGTGAGTATGATAGGGACATCTGATATGACCCGAAAAAATGGTTTCTGTCGTCCATACAAAAGTGTGGGACTAGTTTTTGAGATACGTTCCACTTTTTGTGAGGAGGGTACCCCTGTTTTTTACTGGTCCCCATTACAAAAAAAATCAATATCTCAAAAACTAATCCCGCACTTTTGTATGGACGACGGAAACTAATTTTTCGGGTCATATCGGATGTCCCTATCATACTCACGACATGTCATGAATTAGATCATAAATGCACATTTTTCATCATATGTCACATGTCGAATGTTTCCCTGAAAATTCCTTATACAGTTACACAATTGTGTTACATGTTATCATATTCCGAATACATAATGATATTTGCTATTATATAGTGCCATTACATGCTCATATATGTGTGCTATGACTCGTACTACGGATCATCCTAGGCCATTATCGAAGAGGCTACATCCCCCCTCATAGTGCACAACCTCATCCTCCCGTCCATCCCGATCCTTCTTGTGCTCCTCGAGAAACCTCCGCTTGGCTTTCGCCTCATGCGTAGTCCTCTCCCGTGCCCGCTTCTTCATGGAGGATACAATCGCGCCGCACAGGCCGCGCGCCCCCAACAGTCGCGCCGCACAAAGCCGCGCGATGCCCCCTTGAGCGCACCGCAACGGCAGATTGGGGGAAAGTTGTATCGCTCGTGTTTCACTCTTCGCCGCCTACGTGGCACTGTGGGGATTCAGTACTCTGTACCGCACCAGAATCGCCATCAATAGCCTGAGTAGCTCAAACGGCAGACCGCTCGCCCGGCATGCGAGAGGTCCGGGGATCGATTCCCGATCTGGCTCACCTTTTTCGGGCTTCTGGTCTAGCGGTACAGTTTTTGTTTCCCCATGAGGTTATGGGCTCTTACCACGCTTCCACTGCGCAGGTGTGACGCCGGCAGTTGGTTGTGGTTGTGCCACGTAGACACTTCAGAGTGAGGTTGTGTCATGGAGGATACAATCGCGCCGCACAGGCCGCGCGCCCCCAACGGTCGCGCCCCACAAAGCCGCGCGATGCCCCCTTGAGCGCACCGCAACGGCAGATTGGGGGAAAGTTGTATCCTTCGTGTTTCACTCTTCGCCGCCTTCGTGGCACTGTGGGGATTCTGTACTTTGTACCGCACCAGAATCGCCATCAATAGCCTGAGTAGCTCAAACGGCAGAGCGCTCGCCCGGCATGCGAGAGGTCCGGGGATCGATTCCCGGGGTAAACGATATTGGACACGAAGTGGGAACTGGTTCCGCGCGATCGAGAGGTCATCAGACCTGAGACAGGTCGTCATCGTCTCTTCGCCGGAAATTTCCGGCGAAATCACATCAACACATTGCATGCTGCCGAGCGGAGGGCAGGTTGCATACTGGGGAAGGCAGATTGCGTGCTGGGGAAGGCAGGTTGCATGGTGCCGCATGGTGCCGAGAGCAGGTTGCATGTTGGGGAATAGTTTTCAGAAGCATATGAAAAATATTATATTGCTTCTAAAAACTATTCCTACTTATTATATATCAGAAACCCTTTGCCTTACCCTTTACCGCTGCGCGCGACCGGCAAGCATCTTTGAAACTTCCGAGTTTCAAAGATGCGGTTTGTATTTTGGGTGCACCCTAAAGTTACAAAACAGCCGAGCGCTTCCCGTTTGTGCGGGATATTCACATTGACACATTCATTCCATGGCATATTTCATATGAAATATACACATAAGCACAAAGGCATCGGCCACGCATCTTTGAAACTAACGAGTTTCAAAGATGCGTTTTTTGTCATTTGGGTGCGCATACCCAAATAACAAATCAGCCGAGCGCTTCCCGTTGGCGTGGGGTATCCAACGCTTGAATGTTGAATATTCATTATACAGTAATATGAGTTAGCATGCGAGGTTGCAAAGGCATCGGGACAGAATCTACGAAACTGTCCTATGCCTTTGCCTTTGGGTTTGGGTTCGAACGTACCCAAACCCAAAGATGCCAAACAGCCGAGGGCTTCCCGTGCGTCCTAGCGCACGAAACTTGGCACAAATACTGCCAAGATACATATCTTTAAGTTACCTGAAGCTCAAGGCTTCAAGTTGCTTGTGCGCGAAACGCACAATTTATTTCTAAGGCAGATGTTTTGGGTTTGGGTTCGAACGTGACACCCAAACCCAAAGATGCCAAACAGCCGAGGGCTTCCCGTGCGTCCTAGAGCGCGAATCTTGGCACAAATACTGCCAAGATACATATCTTTAAGTTATGATAGAAAAGGCTAATATATATTATATATTAGACTGACGGAAGCACTAGCGGGGAGTGACACCACAATTCACTGCAGACTAAGATGAGATACGTAAAATAACTTTGGGGTTTTATTATCACGGAACGGTGACAGGAGCAAGCTGACATGGCACCTCGGGTCAAGGGGTGATCAGGGAGAGTGTGTGGGGGGGGGGCTGAAAGTCTCATCTCACATCACACCACCTCACCCCGAAGGCGTGAGGTGCCACAACAAAGCAGGTAAGCTTGCATCCCAAACCTAAACCCTAGGCAAAATAGGCAGCAGTTACAGGCCCAATGGGACCTTTTGCAGTCCAACTAGAGGTGGATCCCCACATAGGCGTTGGCCCGAAACTACTGCACTAGCTAGAGCCGTTTACCGAAGATGTCTGTCTAACTTCATTGTTGCACACCACCAGACTGTGATGTGTCTGGTGGCAGGTCGATTGTGGCATTGGCGACGGGCTGCGACCCCATGAAAGGCGGTAACCAGATCGGCCCCTCAAATACCAACCAATACCTGTGCGCGGCCATGGCGTAACGTGGCCAAGCACCACCAGAGGCAAGTGGCAGAGGGGGAGGAGTGTGGGAAATGCGGAAAGTGGCTCGAACACAAAGGTGTCGAACGCACGAGGAAGTGGGGGTGGGAGACGAAAGGCGTTCTCAAGCACCACCACATCGTAGTGAGGTAGCACACAACGCGAAGGCGAGGAACGCGGTGAGGCGCTCTCGTAGGAGTCATAGCACTCGTTGTCGATGGCGAAAATGTCGGAGTCGTGCTTGGTGTCTGGTGCGCGCACCACCAGACACCACCAGACCAAAGCCAGAGGTAGAATGTTGTCGACGTAATCGAAGAGAGACCAACGCAGAACGAACAGCGGCCATACGCGCACGATGAGGTCCAGTGGGCATGGTCGCTGACCACTGACTGCTGACTGCGGAATCCGCGAACCCAAAATTAGGGTTCCCAAGCGAAAAGCGAATTTCTCGTAAAATTAATCGAACGATGAAAGGGTCAATTTGGGGTAGATTCTCGCGGGGCGAAACGTCGGTCAAGTCAAAAACGTCGTGCGGTAAACCGTTCTCCCGCCAGGAGCGGTGCTGCTGGCCAGATAGTCGAGAGCGCGTTTGGGTGCTTGGTGTGAACGTAACTTTCCGTAAAATTAACTAAATCGAGCGATGAAGAAGTCAAGTTTGGGTAAAATTCGACGGGGAAAACGGCGGTGAGGTCAAAAAACGTCGTGCGGCAAGCCAATTTTCCGGCAGCGGAGGCGCTGCTGGCCAGAGTGTTGAAGGCGTAAATGTCTGTTGAAAGTTCAGAGATGCGGCGAAATCAAAAACGCCGATACGTAGGGGCGAAGGTCTCGTTAAATTCGGTTGAAGTTGGTCGAAAAATTACAAATTTCCGAGGTACGTGCGGAGGTTACGTGCAGGCTACGTGCGGGTTACGTGCGGGTTACGTGCGGGTTACGTGCGGGTTACGTGCGGGTTACGTGCGTGATCAAAGTTGCCGAGAAAAGGATGCCACACCAAAGATGGTGGACCGATAACCTGATAGAAAAGGCTAATATATATTATATATTAGACTGACGGAAGCACTAGCAGGGAGTGACACCACAATTCACTGCAGACTAAGATGAGATAATAAAAGTAACTTTGGGGTTTTATTATCACGGAACGGTGACAGGAGCAAGCTGACATGGCACCTCGGGTCAAGGGGTGATCAGGGAGAGTGTGACTGCCCCCCACCTTATGGGGGGCTGAAAGTCTCATCTCACATCAAGTTACCTGAAGCTCAAGGCTTCAAGTTACTTGTGCGCGAAACGCACACTTTATTTCTAAGGCAGATGTTTTGGGTTTGGGTTTGGGTTTGGGTTCGAACGTGACACCCAAACCCAAAGATGCCAAACAGCCGAGGGCTTCCCGTGCGTCCTAGAGCGCGAATCTTGGCACAAATACTGCCAATATACATATCTTTAAGTTACCTGAAGCTCAAGGCTTCAAGTTACTTGTGCGCGAAACGCGCAATTTATTTCTAAGGCAGATGTTTTGGGTTTGGGTTTGGGTTCGAACACAAACCCAAACCCAAAGATGCCAAGCAGCCGAGGGTTTCCCCTGCGTGTGGAAGTGTGTTAATTCATATGAAATATTCCATGGAATAAATGTGAATATCCCGCACAAACGGGAAGCGCTCGCCCGTTTTGTAAAATTAGGGTGCACCCAAAATACAAAACGCATCTTTGAAACTCGGAAGTTTCAAAGATGCTTGCAGGTCGCGGGCAGCGGTAAAAGGCAAGGCAAAGGGTTTAGGATCGATATAGAAGAAGTAGGAATAGTTTTCAGAAGCACTAGAATACTTTTCATATGCTTCTGAAAACTATTCCTACTGCCGCTAACCATTTGCATTTCCCTTTGCCTTTGACCTTCCGTTCGCAGTTTTACCATGTGCACCTCGGAGCGGTCCGGGTGGCACCTCGGATCCGGCGAAGAGACGACGACCTGTCTCAGGTCTGATGACATCTCGATCGCGCGGAATCAGTTCTCACTTCGTGTGCAATATCGTTTACCATTCCCGGCCTGGCTCACCTTTTTCGGGCTTCTGGTCTAGCGGTACAGTTTCTGTTTCCCCATGACTTCTCTCTTCTCTCTCCAACCCGCACATCACATGACACCATGCTAGGGGGCACAGTCATGCCCTCCATCTCCAAAACCATCTGCCGGTACCCTGGGCCCCAGTTCTTTACCGCCACACAATTGAATGTGGCATAGTGGTACATGGGCCCTTGCCCATGTTTTGGGGTCTTGCCTCCCGGGAAGAATCCCCGCACCATAGAACCCCCAATGACTCGCAAGAGTTAGTGTGAAACAAATGGATTTGTTTCTTGATCACTGTACTTAGCATAGACCTTCTTGATTCCCGCATAGTACCCTTCCTTGGCATTTTTGCGCAAGTACTTACCACCAGGCAAAGACGGCGTGTGTGCCGCATCACCACCCGCCACCTTGCACCAATGCTCCCTCACACCATTCACATCGGTGCCAATGAAGTCACCACACTTGCCATGGCAACCAAAGGCGTGGTCAACTATGTTAGTCACCGCGCCCACCATGAAAACGATTTTCTCTGGTTCAGTCATTCCAGGTGCAGTGGCAACAAATTCCAAAACCGTAATGTACTGGTACTGAAAGCACTTGATGATAGCCACTGACAATACCGATCCAGACCACTTGTGTTCATTCCTCAGCTTCAACAAGTCGCCATATAACAACTTTTTCAAGTGGTTGGGATCAGAGAGTTTTTCAACAGGCTTCAGAACCGCTGGAACAGAAGGACCATTCATTGCTTTATGCATACAGTAAACACTCAGTATTAAGGAATTCACCGTTAGGAATGTCTCAGAAGCCGACGTTTGGGGGGTCACGATTTTAGTGATTTGGCTGGCTGGACCAAAAAAATAAGGAAGAGGTCCGAAATAAGGAAGGCCGTCGCTGGCTGACATGCTTTCGGCAATCTTAAAATAAGGAATTGACGCTGGCATAGCTTGACGCGGTGCACATGGCTAATTATTGCACATGGCATTAGGCAATTGCAGGCAGTTCTTCGTAGTGAGACTGTGATAGTATGCCGTCCTTCATGTCCGTGTGAAGCTCTCTAAGCTGTTGCCTACTCGCTGGGTCCATTTTATCACTCCGAAAAATCAGCACACAGTTTTCTCGAAAATTTCGCTTTGTAAGGCTGAGGAAGATAACGAATGGCGCTGGCTGGCTCATGAATCGCGTTCCTTCTAATGAACGAATTCATTAGCACGCTGGCGCTGGCGGGGGGGGGTCACGATTTTAGTGATTTGGCTGGCTGGAGCAAGATCTCTGTTTCATTAAATATGAGTGT